CCAAAGCCAAGCCTTTAATCTGTGCATCTATATTATCGGTAATCAATTAAATTTTAAAAAACTTTAAGCTTTTAGAAGAAAATTGATTAAACAATATTATTTTACTATAAACTAAATACTTTTTTATAGCTGTTTTTTTTTTAAATTTTTCTATTTTTCTCTAATGAAATTCAAAACTTTTGCTTACAACAAACTCAGTGAAAAATTATTCACTCGTCACTAATTCATTGCACAATTAATAAAATTAAAGAAGTTAAAGTTGTGAATTTGAGAAAATAAAATATATAAAAAAAAAAACACGACAAATAGAAAACTTAGCAACAAAAAGGGGTACAAATTAAAGTAGACGGGAGTATTGCCAGTAGGTGTTACAGGGTTGTTATATGAAATAAATGGCGAGAGTGCTATGAAAATCATATTTCAACTTAAGAAAAAAAAAAAACAAATAAACTAGTAAAAGCGAAAGGAAAGGTCAAAATATAATGAAAAATAAACTAACAAAAAAAAATTAAAATCATTTTGCAATAAAATTAAATTACAAACCAAATCTAAAACAGTTTTGAAAGTGTAGCTTAGCTGTAAGATGAAATATCTTATGGTCCTATGAGTTGAAGCTCATATGGAAACGTGTTGCATGTAACGACGAGTAGTAATGAGTAACGAGTAATTAGTAGTGTGCCATGTGTGAACAAGAGTGTAGTGTGTAATGAATCTATACAAAATGTTAGAAATGCGTTGACATTCATTTGTAAACTGATATCATGCCAAATGTGCAGCGAATTGTGGCGCATAATCAACGCGAGACAAAAATGACTTGAATATGAAATGTGAAACTGAAAGTCAACAACAACAACAATAATAACAACAAGAACAATAACAACAACAATGACCACAGCAATAATATGAAAAAAAAAAATATGTAATGAAATAATAAAAATTATAGCAATGGCAAAAATCAACAAGAGGGACGTTGACACGCCTACCTATTTACCGCGCTGCTAGTCAAATGTAATTAATAACAATGCATAATTACATTTGTTGTTACAGTAAAAATAAAAAAAAAAAACTCGCCTGTGAATAACGTCATTAAACATTTGATACATTCACATTTCTATGGGATTGAGTGTAAATTATTTTGATTTGAATTTTTCAACTTTGATTGTTTGCAAAATATCCATGGCATTATATGTAACCTAAACCTAATAAAGCCCTATATTCGTTATATTATTTCAACCCTGTGATGTGTAAAAAAAAGGGGTTCACTCACGACGTTAAGCTTCACATTAAATGGATTCCTTTCCTTTTGTTAGGTAACTGCAGTGCAATTTAAAAACGTAAAAAGAGCAACCGTTTTTGGTAAATGAAAGAGTGAGAATTTCAAATTAATCACTTGCATATTTAACTAAGCGCCTAAAAGCAAGCAGTGGAGTTTTTAAATAAAAAATGTACATGAATTTTTAAATTCTTAAACTGCAC